TTAAATATGTAAATACATAAGAATTCTGTGGTATGTATTTAAACTTGAAATAAAAGAATCTTAATTCTTAATTCTTATTCATCAGAGGGTCATCTGATACTGATAGTGGCTTACTAAATACAATACAAGTTTTATCTTTTATTGAAATTAATTGCGTGGCATCTGTTACTTATGTTATTAGCATTTATTAAGTGTTTGATTGGCAGATATTATCATTAAACAGTATTTTAAATCTACATAATATAAACTTTTTAGCTAAACAACACTTTAATCCAAATGAAACTGGTACATTGTGAAAAATTACAGTTTGGATAACATTAATGTTTTGTTTGGATAAACATAAATTTTTGTTTAAGAACTGCTTTATAGTTGATCTCAATTGCAACACATGCAATTTACAAATTAAGAAAACATTTATATATGTATCAAAGCTGTAAAACCTTGTCAAACGCAAAACTTCTCTCAATCTGCTTGTTCCCAATATTCTGGATTGCCAAGACTTCTCCTCTCAACTCATTGCAGGTTATAACAGCCGGCATGCTGAAATTTGCCTCTTCTTCTTCACTCGAAGGTCTATCAAAACTCAACAAAATTCAGCATTTATGTAAGAAAATAAATAGATAAATAAAGTAAAATCAAAGAACAAAAAAAAGTTAAAATTTTTATTTTACATATATGTACCTGCACCGGAGAATAACTTGAACATTGAGCTCTTTTTCCTTATCATTTTTTATGCTGAATCGAAAATCTTCTGCAAGTTTCTCACTTGAGCGAGTAGTATCAGAGAGATTCATAGGAACCTCTCCCCCATTCCTCTGAAATTCATCCATTTCCTCTTAGTTCGAAGAACCAGAGAAACAAAAAACCAATTTTTGAAAAAAAAAAATGTCTTTTTTTTTCTCTTCTATGATTTATGAAAATGCACCGCCGGCGGAGGCCGGCCCCCATCGATGAGATTAAGCGTAGAGAGAGACACTTGAAAGCTGACAATTGGCATGGCGTTGGTCTCTTTCTTCTTCTTTTCTGACTTTCACCTGGGCGATCATTTTGTAAATATCAATATTTCAGTTGGTCTGAATGTAATTCTCTGTGTTTTAATTATCCGTGTTAATGATTAATGAATGATTTGATTAGCTTATCGAGCAGACATTTGGAGGGAACAATTTTGCATTTTGGTTGAAAGTAAATGAAAAATTTTAGAGGATTAACACTTAATTTGAAAAAGAAATTGCTGAGGTTTGAAAGGGAGTCATATTTTTATTATTATTATTATTTTTTTTTTGTGAATTACATAATAAAAGTTCTTTTTAATTATTATTTTGAGTCAAATCGTGCTTGTTATTATAAATCTTGTTAATTTTGTGTGAAAAGCGTAAAAAACTAAGTACTTGAATATAAATAATGAATGCTTGTAATTAAAATTTATTTTTTATAGAAATAATAGTTTATTTTTTCTTTTAAAAAATAGCAAAATTTATGAAATTTTAAAAAATATTGATTTATCTACATTTTTTCTTATTTGATGTGAGCATTATTGTAGATAATGTATTAAAATATCATGGTACATTTTTTTTTCAACAAATTGTTGTCTTTGATCAATAAATTTTAATTTATTTAACATTTGTTTGAAAAATTAAGTTTTAAATAATAATAACGATGAAAACGCAATTTTT